ACCATACCTGCGACCGGCATCAACAAGCTCTCCACCAATCAATACATCTATTCTCACCACTGGTACATCTCGACCTGCCAGTCTTATGACGGACCCTGGTCCGAATCCGATTCCTGGGTCCACAACAACGATTACCTTCCCTACGGCACCAGCACGCACTACCACACCTGTTCCAGTGCGATCAAAACAACGGTCATCATCTCTGGTGGACCCACAACCAAAAAAGAAACAGAAAGGGGAGTCCATTCCTGAGCCTAGACTCGCCCACAATCTTGATGCTGTCCATTCGACATCGTTACCCATTATCTCAGACGCCCGTTCAGGCGACATGAATTCTGATGACTCCGATGGTGAGGCTGCGTCAAGAGAGGACATCAGCTACATTCATGGTGGGAAAGCAAGACCCAGAACACCTCCTCTTACCTTGACTCCCAATCCAAAAGCTCCGCCGTCTCCACAGATGCACATCCTCCATGCTATTCCTGCCGCTACACCTCCTGATCCTGCTCGTCCTTGGACCCACGCCGATGACCAAGAATTGATCGGCATGAAACAGGACACAAAGTCCAGACCTTCGTGGAAAACGATTGGAGGGAGACTCCATCGCGATCCTCAGCTCTGCAAGCTACGCTGGGGACTTTTGAAACAGACATCAGAAGTGAATGACCCACCGGGTCCAGTAAACCCACCTCATGAACTTGAGGGTGATGACTGACTCTAGCATCAATCTTTGCGATGTCAAAAAAGCGTTATTCGCTGCCTCATTTGGTGCTGTTGGACCCCATGTTTTTTCCTTTTTTCCTTTTTTCCTTTTTTCCTCTTGCCTTTTCTTCGGGGTTCTCGCCAATGTTGATTTGATTTTTCCTTGGCCTGCGATGAGTGCTCTAACTCTGTGTATCTGTTCATCCACAGCAAGTATGGCTCATTCATATTCTCATCGACGAACAGCTCTCGAACGCTCCCGCTCACGGGACGACTATATGTGGCAGAACCGTCGCACTCAGCAACATGATTGGCAACAAAATCCTCGACCTGAACAACCTCCTCCTGCTCCTCGAGTCCGAAAGGTCTTGGTCATCGTTGACATTGAACAAGTACGCCCACTTATGAACAAAACCCATGATGACTCAATGGCCGCTACAACATGTGAGGTCCTCCCTCGCCTCACTCAGGTCGAAGAACGTGCATTGTTCACCTACAATATTCTGCTCAACACACACCGGTTGGAAACCTTCACGGTGTACAACCTGTTATATTGCATCAGCCAGCATATCTGGTATACGTGGGATCGATTCTTATCTCCTTCATCTATGGACATCAGATGGCAAGACGATACTGGAGATACATTTGCTCTCCGCAACGAGGAATACCTCATTACCTATCTGAACGCCTATCGCTCTCACTGGACTGAGGGACAAGAACACAGTGAGTTCTTTTCAAATAACATTCATTTCTTTACGTCTCACATTCAGCCTTATATTATGCGCGTGAGTTGCCATGAGGCTCTTCCAAACCGCAACATGCTTCCTTAAGCTTGAAAAGTCTCCTGCATTTAGGGCTGTGGGACTTTCCCGTTTGCAGGTGGTGGTTTTGCCTTTTCGTTGATTTTTACCTGTTAAATTCTTTAGCTCTTGGTTCCAGCTGTACCATGACCAAACGTGATTCCTCATTTGCCGGTATCACGTATCCTTCATCCTCCATGAGCAAGCCACGTCGTCTTTCATGGAGATCTCGCGGTCATGGGCAATCCAGTAGCACTGCTGCTCCTTCGGATCCGTTGCATCCTTCCCGTGGCGACAATGCTCCCCAAGCTGGAATTTCCCTCTCACCTACCGGATCAGGTGAGTACACACCTCACTATGGGTACTCTTCGGAAAATCTTGCCACACCCATACCATCTCCTGCCGATCATCAAGCTCCAATTCTCCCTACTCCTACAAGGGAATCATATCCACTCCAGCAAGAGATGGAAGAAGTCCGACGTCAGCTCCATGCATACTATTTTGTCGAAGTCCAATCACCTTCAGATGACGACACCCAACCAGCACTTCGCCGACTTATGGTGACGGAAGTGGATCGACGTGGCCACCATCACAATAGGCAGCCGGAATATTTTTTCAATGGCATCATCGGCCACATTCGTGCCGGCCAGAATGGCTGGATTGACTCATGGGATCAATCCTCCCAGCTCGCCAACTACTGGCGTCGCTATTTTCAGATTCCGGAGATCTCTCCGTATGGAAATTGGCGTCCCCGTCAACATGAAGCTCCAGGAAGCCCTGAATCGTTGCAAGAATCCGGCATGGATGACACCGATTCTCTCATGCCAATGTTGATATCAATCCACCTCCTGTCCAGATCCATCAACTGGCAACGTTCCTCTGGAACATTCTCAACAATGACAGGGAGGCCAACATGGCCATACTCGAACGTCTTGAGGATCCTGAAGGAGACCTTTCCCGACACCCAGTTCAGATCTTCTCGGCGGCAGACTTGGCTCATCTTGCCAGCCACTTGGCGGAATCTACAAGGACTTTGTCAAACCAAGCACGACGCATGGAGGCATTACCTGATGACGGCCTGTGAGTTTTAGGATTAATTCATTTGATGATTCTTCCCTGTATTTTGAAGCCATTTCCGCTTCAGGGAACGGATAATAGCCTTCACTGCGTGTGAACTTGAAAAAAGCCTCGCGGCAGCGAGGCGTGTGTGTGGAACATCTGAAAAGATGTAAAACTTCCTTTAGTTCGATGATGGTTGATTTTCGTGGTTTTTCGCTTTTGAATCATATTTGCAGGGGGATGGAGTGTGCTTCAGATGTCTCCATCCAACGAAGACGCATCTGTTGCACAGTGATATGGATTGGGGACGCTCAATCCACGTACCTGCTCATTTTCGTCCATGGCAACCGGCCAAGCCAAGAACCGGCATGTCGATTTGTTTTCAACTTCTTTTCTGCACAGTTGCCACAATCTGCCTATTCTACGATTTTTATGATTGAAAAAGCTGCATCAAAACCTTCCTCAGAGCAAGGACGTAGAAAGTTTACTTCGCACTGAAATTCACGCTGGATCAACCAATTTTTCCTGGCAGTTTGTAAGCGATTGTTTTGTGCACGTGAGATGCATTCCACAACAAAATTCGCAATGTTGTTTCTGAGCAAGTGTGTGGGTTTCAGTGAACTGCAGGCACTGAAGCGAGCTCTGGAACACAGGTGTTTCGTGTGCAGCTTGATGGTTCATGCGAAATGGTGCCGTGGCAAACAAAGACTATGTTTGTGACAAAAATGACACAACACGACATGCGAATACCTCTGCTGTTGGTTTGACAGCGTTGATAGAGTCGACTTCTGAACTTTGCCAGGTGCATCATGTGGCTCAGCCTCACAGCTGCTTCCGCATGCTTAGATTCTGTGATAGGGACTGAGCGAGGGAGCAGTGGAGCAGAAGAGTTTATATAGATGCTCCCACTCAAAGCGGTGTGATGACAACTTGCAAATACTTGCAAAATAGTACAAACCCGGATATGTTGGATGTGGCATGGTGTGGCAGGACTGCGATGCGTTGCTTTCGGTACTTGCAGATGGACTTCTCACGCTGTCACGGTTATCAGATGGTGCCTTGGAAGATTTGGAAACCACATTGATAGAACATCCTCCCTCCAAACGACATTGCAGACCATTCACAGGGTTTGACTTGCCTTGTTTTGGGAATTCCTATGAAGTCACGGTCTTTGTGGATGGCACACTATGTCAAATGTCTTTCAAGTACAGCACTTGTTTTGGATCGACTTGCTTTCTGCACAAGGAACGTCCAAGTGTTTCTTTGACGATGGCTCTCTTCAGAGTGTGGACATCTCTCCTGATCAGAACCTCATGGTGGCTTGTCGGCACATTGACTTGTCCAAAAACTATTTGAAAGAGCTTAGTTGATTGTGCAATGGATGTCATTGGAAATAAACTGTGGTTGCAACGTGTCAGCCACATGTCAGCTTGAAAGCACTAATGTGGCAGCTTGAAAGGAAGGACATCCACAGCATCCCGTCAAAATCGCTTCAGAATCTTCAAGCCGTTCTGAGCCGTTCTCCAGGTGTCAGCTTTGCAGAACTGTTTCCGCGTCTTCAAGGTTCGCGAGGCTGGATGACTGGAACGATTCTTATCGATTGCTCATTTAGAATCTGGGTATGTGCTACTGATTTCTACTGGATGTGCTAATACTAGTTAATTGCTCGATAAACTAGCCTATTTGTGCCTGGACCAAAATGCACAGTCGTTGACACTACGGCAGATGCAGACAAGCTGGTGCATAACATGCAGATCTGCTCAAAGTCATTTAAATTCAGGCATGTAGCTAAATCGGCTAAATCGTAGAGTGACTGAATTGGAAGACGTTTGCGAAGGAGGTAGTACAGTGATGTTGCGAGATCTACAGAGTGAGATGATTGAAGGCTTCACTTGAAGCATTGGCTGAGCATGACTATTGCTGCCATACATTTTTTAAAGACCTACCAGACGCCTTCTGTGATTGAGCATTTAGTGTAGCTGTTTCCCCCCAATAAGCATGCCTTCACGGCCAAAGCGGTGTGGGCGGATTTACCATTATTTACCGATCACTTTGGCAAGCAATCCAAATCTTGTATTTGGAGCGCGGGATTCTAACGAACAGATATGTGGAACATACGCCGTAGTCGATACGCAGTCTAAACATGGTGTATTGTTAGTATCCTCTTTGACTAAACATGTTGTATTCCCATCTTCTTCCAAATGCTTTCGTGACTGGTAGGTGTACTTGTCAAACGCTGGCCACCATGCCAATAGCGCGGCTTTCTGTCTCCACGCAGTCCTCTGGGTACAAAGAATGCTCGCTGAGGATGTAGTTTTCATTCCGCAAAAGTCTGCATTGCTTGGTGAAAAAAGAACCCTGAGTGTCCACACCGCAAAAAGTTTTCCGCCGAAATGTGGATAAGATGGATAAGTCAGCCACAGATTAGTGACTGCTCAGGACGAGATGATGTCGGGACGAAGACTTCTTGTGATTCGGTTGCAGACTGGCCATGAAAAGAATGGTAATTTCTAAGTCAATATATGTCAAAATTGATTTTGCAGGCAATTGGTTGCATATTAAGCACCGAGAGCACTTTGAAGTCTATTCGCTGAAGTTGTCACCTTTTTGCGTTCCGGTCTTTGCTTAGTTAGGCTTTGCACGTTTTGTTTTCTTTTGACTTACAGTAAGATTCTTGACATCATATCTGTGAGATCCGGGAAAGTGAAATTTATGTCTGAAAAGTAGTGGACTGTGTCAAGTGAATCTTACTACGTATCCACAACATCAAACTCTGCAAACCATGTCTTCACTGTGAGGAATTTCAAGAAGAAGAGACTGAGTCCTTAAGCCGTCAAGCAGTTGCTGACCAAAAGGCAAGGCGGCTTTGAGGTCCTGTGGGTCTTGACAGATCTTCCTTGCATTATCCGCTTCGAATACTTTGTAGACATTTCGAGACACACGTCATGGATCGTCATGGTATCCTTATGTATCCTTCATGTTCAGATGTTCGTCCTACAGGAATCTTCTCACCTGCGCATGGGGGGCCCTGTGGCCAACTCCGAGTTGGAGGTGAGACTGGAACATGTTGGCGACCTGGTGACCTATGCATCCCTTGTAACAGAGTTGTAACAGAGTTGGAACATGTTGTATGATCAAGTACTTGTAAGATGTGTTCACTCAGTTCACTCTGTAAGTTTGGTGTGGTGGGTACAATTTGTTCCAGGCAACGAAAGGACAACCCTGAAAACTGGCCTTGCGCAACAGGCAGCAAGTTTTCAATTCTGCTAGCGGTTCAGGAGTCTCTTCGAAGTGCTGATAGGGAAGCTAGCGAGCTTTCACAGGATGTGCAGAGACGAGAGCAGGTGCGGCATGAGAAGTGGCCTGTGCAGATTGCAATAAAATGCAACAAACAAGATTTGAATATGTCACATCACCATATCTACTGGATTCTATTGGCCTGGATTTGATTGGTCTACGAGGTACCAAATTTGATGCTCGCAACAGTGTTGGAAGGCATTCAGATAAAATAACTATTGGCATCTATTGGCAAAGCAATACACCAAGGGCTGGAGTTGTCAAAGAGGGGGTATCTGTACGTGGCCCAGAGTGTGATGATTGCCTATAGGCCTACACACACAAGTGCCAAACATCCCCGATCTTTCCACTGGCTGCACATCCCACGTATTCCCACTGTACGTTTCAAAATGGCGGGACTCTTGCTGTTGCCGGTTTCCTGTATCAAAGACTCTGATTCTTGGGTTCCCAATTCAGACACAGAATCATTTGTATCAGATTGTGCTCATATCTCTGCTCGTTGGTTTTACATGTTTTACTGTTGACCACATTTTGCAGGCGATAGCCGATCTCAGCCAAGACTTGAGAAGCGTTCTGGAGGCCGGAACCTTTTAAAAGGGGGATGATGTGATTATTTTGTGTTAAGTTAATTGGATAGTTTCATTCAGCTTGCCTTACAGGTTGCCTTAAATAGGTAACAGTTTTTGTATGTTTTTGTGCTGCAATTAGTGGACATTGAATCCTTTTGCCGTCGCAGTACATGATCACAGTGAACATCCGGGCAGCCCGGGCAGCTGGTGGGATCGGTGGGATCGACAGTCTCACTGAGGAGGACCTAAAAAGGTCGATGTTTGGTCGTTGCCAGTCGTCCATTGTTGCCTTGTCAACATCCAAATGGTGTCCCCTGTGAGGAGTTTCTACCAAATGGTGTCCGAGCACATTTAGGCCGAAACAAGACAGCTCATTAGATTCAGCAGAATCTACGACCACCTCGCTGAAGTTGCGGAACTCATTGCTCCTTTGAGTTCTTTCAGAGTCTTCTCTACTCCAATTCTCAGGCTTGGGCAGGTATGGGGAGGAACACCTCGACTTTCTCTTCAGGACGGTTTAGTGCATCCTTGTCCCTGCAACTGGTACCTGCGCACTTTGAGTCTGATCAAGAAAGAGCACAACTTCCACATTCTGCAGGAAGTACAAGCTCCAGATTGCTCGGAAAGCAGACGATCTAATCGATCTAGATGCTTCTGGGGCCAAGTCCTCGTCTTGGCCTTGGAAGCGTATTCGACCAATATTCGACCAATATTCTAATTCTTAGTTTTAGTATGTTTTAGTATGTTTTAGTGCAGACTGTCGGCCGCTCTTTGGTGTTCCTCCTTGATTTTTGAACAGCACGCTTCTACGCTGACAGTCAGCTTCCTCTCTCCTCAGCTTGCGGCATGGTATAGTCCCCAGCGGCAACAGTTCATTTCCACTTCATTTCCTTCCCCAAAGGCTGGAGCGGCTGGATGGCCGCGATCCTGAAGCCTGTTTGTGACTTTGGCCCCACCAGAGACAAAACAAGCTGTCACACACACACACTGCCAGTATTCAGTGGAGACTAGAGAAATGATTCGATCGTACGATTCATATGATACAATGTAAGGCAATGTATATGAACTTCCACCATTCAACATGCCCTTCAAAGTGGCAATTGAAAAGGCCACCTAGAGCGACTTGTTGACAGATCTAGGCACGGAGAAGGTCACACACAAATCATACAACTTCAACAAGACTCTGCACACCACGAGGCAAGAAGAGAGGCAGGGGAAAGAGGGTCCTTTGGTGGTCGCAGAGTGGGAGGCCGGGGTCTTGAACATTGTAACATGGCTCAGTGTAGGCAGTGGAAGAGAGTTTGCCCTCACAAATCCCTATGCTCCAAGGATTTGGACGATATGTCCACTTCGCTGCTCCAAGGTGAAGAACTCAGAAGCGCACATTATGCACGCAGAACGCTTGAATTGGCTGAAGCTGGCGACATACCGGCGACATACCCTGTTCATCAACTGTTCATCAACTGTTCATCAACTGTTCATCTCTTTTCCCCACACCGGGCCCACACCTGTTGATCCTGTTGAGTTTGTTGTTTCTGTAGGATCGATCGAATCGTCCCTTGGTACACAGGCGCGGATGCATTGTGCCCATCTGTGCCCCACTTTTGTTCACTGCCAGATGCTGATCGACTCCGAATCGACTCCTCTGTTTTGAGAAACTTTGAGCTTTTGCGTTTTGATGGACAAGCTGCGATACTGCGATGCGCTGAAATCTTGAGAAGCAGCCAAACGTGTAACAATACTGCTTGCCTTAGTTTCAGATGTGTTTGCATGTCTGCATTTGTCTGCATTTGTCTGCACGCTGCCTTTCTATTTCTAGATTTCCCCCACGGAGGCAGATCCACCACCTCTTCCGATTTCAGATTTGAGAAGCGTGATCGATGGATCGACTTCTAGCCTTGAAGAAGAAGGCAGCTTCATTGATGCGTTGGACATCGTTGGACACCATCTTTTGCTGTCTTCCTAATTGGTCGACATCTTCATAGATTTTGAGTGATCCATCGAGTGACTCTTGGTTGATTCTTGGGGCGAGGCCGGCTTCTGCAAGAAGCCTTGTCAGTGGAGCTGAATCGGTTTACGCAGGCCCTGGTGAAACAAGCTGGTGCTAAGGTGCACTCAAATGCTCTCACTATCAAATGACACTGCGGCAAAAGTCCATTTCAAGGAGAAACATGAGCAGGTCAATGGAAGCCTTCCCATGTATGCACAAAGGAGCTATGTCGGATATTGATGGATATTGATGGATATTGCAAGACAGTGCAACGAATTCAGTCAATCCGATTTTGATTCAAGCCGTCAATGGTGCTTCAGGTCATTGCACGTGATGCCGAGTCAATCTCTCACAAAGGTCCTGCTTGGGCTCCGTGACTGAATGGAGACTGCCAGATGTGATGCACACCGACGATGCAGGATTAACACCAAAGGCACATGACAGGAAGGATATGGATGATATGGAAGGATGAACCAAACAAGAAATGCTTTGCGTAGCTGTATGGGTTGTGATGTTATTCGATTGGCCTTTCTTTTTTTTGCGATGCTTCAAATTGGATGACATGATTTTCTGTTGGAGCTGTTTCTGTGAACCGAGGATTTGCTGATAGCAGTGACTCAAGGCAACGTTGCAGCTGTGAAGTCGTTGCTTCCAGTACAGGCGCGAGCGCTAACAAAAACAGCCGCGAGAATCGCAGCGATCAACTCACGCCAAAGACTTTGGAGCGGGCGGTATTGTGAGATGCTGCTTAGATGAAGGATGCAGAAGGGCAAAAGTGACCCTCCTTTGACTCACTTAATTTGACATTTGGAAAGCCTGCAAAGGCAACGAGCAGAACAAAACGACGTGCAGTTTGGCAGCAGGCTGGCTCAGGGGCGTCAAAGGGTTGGAGAAATGTCAAGGGACGCAAAAAAAAATCAGCACCTTTTGGAGCAGGAAATCTCTTGAATCCAGCACTTCAGTTGTAGTGTTCTTGATGCAAAGCTGAAATTCCCTTGCTTCGAATTTGTACCAGGCTGTTGAGAAAATGGGCTGGACACCACTTCACCTGGCAGCTGTGAATGGAGATAGTGACCTCATAGAGTGCTTAAAGGAGGACAGGAAGTGTTTTCAAATGAATATTTGCAGTGTACATTCTCGCCAACACCTTCCATCTGCAAGAGGACATGGTAGACCGCTTCCAGCATCACAGAGCATCCTGGAAGAATTGGCTCGTCTTTCGATTTCTGCATTGTGAGTACTCCTGCATTATTTGAGATGCATGGGCAAGGGGACGTACTGCCACACTTGTCGTGGCTTGTGTCATTGAGGCTGCACTTGGAACTGCTACTTCTGGCACTGGTCTGACACCGTTAGGTGTCGCTTGCTTGGCTGGACACGTCGAGGAGGGGTTTGCCAACTGTGCGCCTGCGGGGCTTCAATGCTTCTCTAGTGGCTACCAGCTTGACGAATAGAAGATTTGAATAACTTTGATCAGGGGTTGGTAACTGTCCCATTTTGGGTATAGTGCCATTATAGACCATATACCTAATGGTTGGGTGATGTTCAATGGGGACATTTAATGACCCATGTTGATACCTTGAAGGTGCGGCTGTTTTGCACATCCTGGGAAGGCAGCTCGACAATTGCTTCAGGGCATGGCTTCGGTGGATGCCAGAGATGCTCGTGGGAACACTGCATTGCATTGGGCGCAGATGGGCGGTGTGGAGCAGGACAGTTTCAGATTTGTGGATTCCCATTGGACTGTTTGTGAAATGAATGGCCTTCTCAGATTGTCGCTCTTTATGGTTCATTTCCGTGGCTATACATACTTTTACTCTTGCTCCCAGTGAGGAACTGATGCCACTGCTCCTTGCTGCAAAGGCCGATCCTGAGGCCAGACTGTGAGCACAGCAAGAGGACCTCGCACCAAAGAGAAATTCTGTATATAGATTCTGTGGATGTTTGTAATTAGTACATATTTCATGGTCAGAGGGACTTCTGGTTGGAATTTGGAGAAAATGTACACATCAACTGAATCAACTGTCTCTCAAACTAAGCAGTGGCCAACACCCTGGCTGACCAAGTTGCAGGTGGTTCTACTAAAAAATTGGTCTAGTGTAGGATGTATTGAAATCCATGACAGGACTCCGTAAACCAACCAGTAGAACCATTCCACAATTCCACAACAGGTTTTGGAAGCTGCCCAACTTATGTCGATGAGTCTTTGGTGTCACCTTCAAACAGAGCAGCCATCACCGAAGTAGGTTGCATAGAACTTGTGCCAGGTGTGCAACCGCAGTGGCCAAAGACCAACGGAATCTTGGCTTGGCATTGGCAGAGTACATAGCAGAGCTTCTGAACAAAATGAACATAAAATGGGCGTGTTAGAAGAGAAGATGCTTGGATTCGAGATGATTCGAGGTCAGGATGCTGATGCAGGCACGCAGTTGGTTGTTTGCACTTTAGATGGTTTCAGGCAGAGAACACTTGGTTTATTGCTGCAGAAGGTTGCTGTGCTTGCAGCTTCCACACGTATGTGTTCGAACTAGGTGGCACCACTTGCTCAGCAAGAGACCAATGCGCCTGCTGTCTGCATTTTATGCACCCCTGAAAAGTTCCAGCTGAAACTGCTTCAACAGTAGCTCTGAGTTGCTTCAAGACACAGAGCCATGCTGTATCGAGCCATGGTCTTCGTATGTCTTCGTTGTCAATGGCAGTGCACCAATCCAGGTCTGGTGACGTACATTTGATCCGCGCATTGGCATTGGAACCAGAAGTGAATCTCTCTTTCTTGCACCTCGAATTGCAATATGATAACAGTCCTGTCTGATTCGACAAACTATGTGCATCTACCATAAATAGATAGCCAGTCTTCAACTCGTTGTTCTTGCTACTCTGTCCGCTCAAGGTCTTACACGCTCAACATGCTCAAGACGCCGGTGCGAGATAGTCTTGGCTTCTCGAAGCTTGATTGCAGACATTTTCGTGAGATTTTGATAAGTCTATATAAGTCTCTTGTTTCCCCAAGAGGGACGGAGTATGACAGAGTATGACTGTGTTGGATTGTGTTGGGCCAATGTTCAATCTGTTGGCTTTCTGATGTCGCTGGGTCCGGGGACTGGGTCCGGGCTGTTGCGTGGCTCCGACCTTGGAGGGGGCAGGTTCCCAGACCCCAAGGTGTACAGCAGGTGCCATTCCAGTGATGATATAGTGGATGCTGTCCTCACCTTTGTCAAAGTGACAGAAGATTGGATAATGGATAGTCACTCAACCTTTTTCAAGACGTACAGCTACCAAGGAAGAATTCGCACGCAAAGAAGCAGGCACAGCTAAGTGCAGAGGAGGAGGCCGGAGACTCGGAAAGCTGATCGGAAAGCTTCAGCTGCCCAAAGTTTTCGCAGCTTGGAAGGGTTCGGCCTTGAGGTCAGTGGAGCCTGGTCAGTGCAATGTGGCTGCAAGTTGCACACCGCTCTCTCCTTTCGAAGTCTATTGGAAGGTTTTCATTGAACACGGCAGTCCTTCTTCACACCCTGGGAATTTCGAACCCCAAATCCCTTTCTATTGTGTTCTGAGTTTCTTTTTTGAAGCACCAGACCATATTTGAAGCTCAATCTGTAGAAGTATGGCTTTCTGAGACTTGAGTTGATTGAACGTAAGCCTAGATTGATCAATGGAGTCCATTTGAGTCCGAGATTGTTGTTGTTGTTGTTGTTCTTGTTTTTTTTTAAGCAAGAACGATCCTGTTTGTTTCTGCATGGTATGCAGTCTTGGTCTCGGTCAGCCTTTCTTTCGTGGCGCAGTCTTCGTGTCTTTTAAAAAGTTATGGTGATGTGGCTTCGCGTTTGTCTTTGATGTCTCCCTTTATATAACATACTTTATTATGATCATCTTTAATCGACCCATGCAGTAATGCATCGCCGATTTATCTGGGAGATATTGGGAGGTCCCGGAATCTCAAGGTGCATCACCAACTACACTCACGCTGGTTTGCCAACGCCTTGGCACCAGAGAAGCTACACTTTGGACTTGGCAATTTTCTCCAAATCAGCTAATGCGACTCGTGGGTTTTTTCCTCCAAGCTAGTCGACTAGTTGGTCCGAGGTGCTCAACCCTTGAGACATCAGGTGTCTACTCTGATCCAGTACCCTGGCTCTTTCAAAAGAATGACTGGAACCATTGGGTTGAAATATAGAATCTAATGAACCAGTTGAAATTGGTCCTTGTACTTGAGCACCACATTTCGGAAATGTACTTCTGCAAGTTGCAACATGTTGCAACAGCATTTCTGACGGTTGGTTGAGGCAAACTGGATTCGAAGCAGACAAGCTTTGGTCCTTACCTGTGAACGGCTCCTTTTGTTCAATGCCCCTTCGCTGTATTTTGGTCCAAAATTTGTCGACAGTGGCAGTTGTGGCTTGTGGGATCTTTGGAGCCCAGGCTTCCAGCTGGACCTTGGAGCAAGTGCTGGCCCTCTCGGAACTGGCAGAACTTGTGCGGAGCCATGGAGCGGATGGGGGACTCGGCGGGGGACGAAGATGTTCGGCATGTTCGGCATGTTCGGCATGTTCGGCATGTTCGGCATGTTCGGCATGTTCATGAAGACAGCATCATTTGATTTATATGATGTTGGCAAACGCACTGCCGGCATAAGCCGAAGCAAGTTTAATTAGCGTTGCGGTGGTTGCCGTCCTCCGTTGCGTCAGTCGGCTTTGCTACAGATACTTGGAAGAAACAAAAGATATAGATAGAGTCGAGAGAGATGGCGAGAAAAAAGAAACGTATTGCTGCCAACTTGGTTATGGAATGTCATATTAACCTTGAACAAACATGTCTTTGCTCTTGCTGCAGCTTTTCACTGTACTCTGTGTATGGCATGCTGTGATCAGGTCCTATCTTCACACTGCTCCACAGCTCCTGGATTGCAACTTGAGGATGACCAGGATGAGAGTGAAAAAACTTGACAAGACAGGGCTTGACTCACATTTCAGCAACATTGATTCTTGCTGAAGCTAGGTGGTGGTTCTTCGAATGCATCGGGTATCAGACCTTGTGTGCTTTCCTCAGCCTTCGGATTCGTGACTTCATTATTTGCGAATCACCAAAAGAGTATAAACATACATTTTCCCACATCATATTTTTTGTCATTTTGTTTGTTCCAAAAGAAAACTCCTTGATTGATACTTGTCGTGAAAGCACCAGATAGGTCCAGTTTCTTCTAGACCACAATGAACTCAGGCTTGATGTGCCAGCATCTGCCCGCACGCGATTCATCGAGGAACTGCAATTTGCAACCAACGCAGTGAATGAGAGGCACCTGGGCCCTTTGTCGTCTTTGTACTTGTCACAAGTTGTTTGCTTTCTACTTGTCCTGATCCGGTGTTCCCTTCATGTGCATTTGCCTGCTTTGATGTAGTATATTGCGAGGTGGGGCGGTTCAGATTTCAGCGGAGGCTTGCGCATCCATCAGGACTGGTCCTGTGTGTTCACTTTTGGGAATGTCAGCTGGATTTGATCCACTTGCGCCGCAATGACAGTCAATCATTCCTTGCTGTTTGCAGGAAGGCGAATCCATTACCGATTCTTGGACCAACCGCTGGCTTTGGTGGAAAGCAAACCAACACACAGCGTCACAACAAATCCGAGAGTTGGAATCTATTCCAATCCCGTGGCTGCCACACTGCGCCTGAGTCCCTGTTGAAAAGAATCGGACTTTTTGATAAGGACCTTTTTGATCAGAATCGGAAGAAGGTCGGCCTTCTTGCGTGGATTGAGGTGCTCTTGCGAGGGAAAGGAGACTAGTCAGTCGACAGGGTTCATGAGACACAAAGCAGACGGCATATTTGAAGGATGCCTTGTTTGGCACGTCAAAAAGCACGATGTTGAATCAGTGAATCATATAAGTCATATTGATTGCTTGGAAGGCGTCATGTTTGAAGTGAAGTGTTTGATTCTTTTGCAGGCAAACGTCTTCCTCTTTTTGCCGTATGTGCCTACAGCAGTTTTGCTGGCGGGAGACCTGTTCTTCTTTGGCCAGATGGACCTCGGGCCCTTTGCTGTGGGACATCATGGACATCCAAACACTTCCCAACGTTCATATGGACATCATGAACATTTTGGCATACTTGGCGCAGGACCTACGGCAGCACATCCGAGGCTTGTGAGTCTAGGGTCACTCTAGAACCGCAGCCTCTCGACCTAGGACGTCTGGACTCCAGGATCAGAAAGTTGCTGACACATGCTGGCAGTAGCTGTCAGGGTCAGCACAGCCAACGAGATCTTCATTTCAATACAATGGCAGTTTTCTTGAGCTGTTCATGTGTTGGATTGCAATACAGCTACATTCTTGCACATTAGTAATTAGATGTACAGTAATTAGTGTTTGCAGGCAACGACTGGGGCTGGCGCTCATACTATTTCGCTCTGAAGAGTGGACCTGTTAGAAAATTGGTATGGTGCAACTTGGCTAAGAAATGCTCAGAAGAGCCTATGGGTGCGGCTCAATGCAGGGCAAATAGCGGCTCTATGGAGCACTGGATCGTGAGCACAATTCTCTGAGGCAAGCGACCAACAGATGAACTTTGTGCTGGAGCTGTTCATGTGTGGCTCGGTTGTGCTGAATAGTCTGTGCTTTTTCAGTAGCGTGGCTATAGTACTTCAGCTTTGCTGAGCTCGCCATGAACCATGGTTGACCTGGTTGAGCTGGTTGAGCTGTAGCTCAGAATGAGGGATGCCAGGAGTTTCCAGATTTGCTCAGTGGCCCCACCCAGTGACTCTGTGACTCAGCCACTCAGGAGAGACATCACCACCGTGCAGCCACTGGATACGCCAGGTGGAGAGGTGGGCTTTGCCTAAAGCTCCGACAGTCCTTAGGGATCACAAGGGAGGGCGTTCGATATTGGAAAAAAAGTAAAACAATAATATATATAATTATATATATAATATATATTATATAATATGAGCATATATGTAACATATTGTAACAGTTACAATATATTCATGTACACAGCATAGGACAAGAATTGCACGTGGGAACATGGGAAGCACTGCAGTTGACTCATGAGATGTCAGGTGTGCATCCTTGTGGAGTACAACTCGAAAGACCGAGATGTGTTGCACTCAAAGTTCGGTCTTTCAAGGAGTTTGCCAGTGCTGAACCTGAAGATAGTGTAGCTGTGTAGCTGAAATTTAATTAGCTGAAGTAGAATTTCTGCTTCTGAATCCTTGGTTGGGTCCTACCATGTCTTCTGTCTTCTTGGTTTCTTTTGCTTCAAACTCTGACTCCTAGAACTACGACGAAGCTGCATGCCCTCTAGTACTTGACTACCAAGGAGCTACTTACACTCAGAACTGCATCATTGAAGAGCCGTGAGGACATGCCGCTCCACATGTAAAGGTAGTGAAGGTATGGAAACCAAGACAACCTTTCAGGGACTACTGTGCGACTCAACTTATCTGAACCTACTATACAGTTGGTAGTTTCCACAAAGGACAGAGACGGCTGTTGGTGAGTCAAACTTTTTATGCTTTTGCGTGCCTGGCCTAGTCTGTAGGACTGGATCGTGTCCATCAAGACGATGCAGACTTCGCAAATCTCGCAGATAACATCAGTCTCTGAGCCCCGCTACTGAACGTGAAAACTGGACTAAAGCCAGAGATGGGTTTGATACTGTTTGATGCTGTTTGATGAATTCCGAACCTTTTGCATGCTTAGCTGTCACTGTCATGCTTCTTATAACTTGCTTGGTCTGTTGTGCTGGTGGTTGTGCTGGCGGCTGTTTCAATCTGCAGAAAGTCGATAGGGAGCGCTCTGCCATTCCCATTTTTGATTGTTTCACGAAATGCCTAGAATTGTAGCCATGTCGTATAGCGCTGTGTATAGCGCTGATGCAATGCCAAACAGCGCTGTGCACTTCTTGTACAAATAAATCTCAGGCGGATTCTGAGGAGAGGGGCACTCTGAATTGAGACAAGTTTTACTTGCTACGAGTATAGCTTGAAGTTCCAATTAGCCTTCCGCTTTGGTCAGACATCAGGTTGCTCCGTTGCCTTTTAGCAAAGCAAATGAACCACAGGGTGTTTTGCCCTGTTTCTGTGCGCTGGGCGTTCAAAAACTGAGAAAATTCGAGAAGACCCACGAATGATGATGAATCCGCAGAGTTTTGTAAGCTTTTCCTAGTGCCAGATTGACCGTTTCACCAAGGTGTTCATCCAGACAAGCAGAACGATAGTGTCAACACCTCAGCTTCAGAGCAACATTTTGCATTTTGAATATTTTGAAATTCTTTGGCTATTCTTTTAGCTTTCCGTTTCTTATGATTCTGGGCATGCAGGATCTGCTATCTCTCTCCAAGTCCCTTTTGCAACACGCATTATGTCCAAAGCACCAGTAGTAACAAATGTGCGCAAATGGGCCACGTATATACAGGATTATACAGGCATATATATATATATACGTAAGATGCAGATACATGTAGGTATGACACTCTCTCTCTCTGTAAATATGTATAATATTGTATCATGCACCTTAATTTGCGTGCTTCACGTCCGCCCTGCACTTCAGGGCCAGGTGCACAGCATTGGCACAGCCGCTGCCAACGCAGCTGATATGCACAAATCGTTAAACAAATCCCACAGGCTCCACGAGGCACGCAGGAAACGGCCAAATAACACCAGTAGTCGGAGTAATGCGCCAGATGCCAACCCTCAAATTCTCCAGTTGCCATTGATGATCGTATTTTGCAACTCGTGCGGCAAGTCTTTGCTCACTGCCCCACATCCCATCAACCCGAACAGCAACATAATTTGCAGCAAGCTATCCCCGGATAGCAATGGCTGCAGAAGGACAATCAAAATGCCCCCAGGCCGATGTTGTCAACAAGTACTTCTACATGTGACTCAAACCTCTATGTTCACAGATGCGGCTCTGAGTACATAAGTATGAACTACAATGTGTGAAGGCGAACAATTGATGCGAAGCTATGTATATCCATATGATGTCTACATGTACATGCCTGCTTTTTGATCGATTCTGGTCCCATTGCTGATTGAAATGCCATGTTAGGCTTCGGATGCATTCCGCTTTGCCTTTGCTCGGCTTGAAAGCTCCAAAGAAGCCCTTGAGACTATGTTGGCACAGGCACACTTCGTTCAATGGTTTCACGAGGCTTTGATTGCCATTTCAAAGTCAAATAGCTGCTCAGTAGCTTTTGGGCGTTCGAATAGTCTTTGAGCATGATTGGAATCATAATGCTTGTTTTACTTGTTGATTCAACAAGTCCTTCATGTTTTTGCACATGTGACCTGTGAAAAGATGTTGACTTGCAAGCTCAGGACATGGAATCTTGCAAACAGGTACGTGTCTCAATCCAAGCCACTTGTGACTCCTAAAGCATTTCGAGAAATTTTGAGCATTGGCAGAGTGTTTTGTTTTTCTGAAAGCATTGGTATTGTGGTTTATGTGGTTTGTTTGAAAGCGTTTCCGCAACAGCGTTGTGCACTCGAGAGTGCCACCCTTGCGCCTTACTGCGCTAAGATTCACAAAGTCCTCAGTGCAGATGTGCACACACGTGCAGGCCCTGACCTCTTGCAGAGAAGATGAACATCAATCACATCACTTTTTGTTTCTTTATTTATCGTTTCATGTGAGCAAAAATCATTTGAAACAAGGATTCACAAAACACTTCATCTATATTTTGCTCCAGGCTTTTGCCTAGGCAGCGTAAGCTTTACATAGGATCTGCGTAGGCTTTGCGGAGGCATGTTCAGCTATGTCCTGGTAGGCTGTCCATGTCGTGGCTGTCCGAGTGGTGTTGGCAAACCACAAGATACAAAAGCCCAGACAAATAATAAACACCGCTCATGGGTCAAGAGAGATTGTTTGATTGCCGTGCAGAGCACACATGGCGAGTTGCACCAGTCCATCTTTTGATCTTAATTTTAATTGATCATCATTCTAATTCATTCTAATTCAATTAATTCACTAGGTTGCTAGATGTGACTAGATGTCACTAGAGATGTCACTAGAGTTGGTGGTTCAGGTGCAGCGCAACTCTTGGGTGCAGACCCAGGGCCGGTGCTAACTGATGCAGGAGCTTTGAACTTAGATAACCTAGCGCATGCGGCCTTGTGGTGCTCCATTCATTCCATTCTCCTCTCATTTGACTTGCTATGCTTGGAATCTTGAACTGAGATTGCGGACTTGGAGAAAGCAAGTGAGATCCTCAAGACATTGAAGTGAGGCATCTGCTCCAATTTCTGCCGAAGTCAGAACTTCAGAACTTAGAAACCAAGGTCGAGCCCAACTGAAGCAGCTGGAAAAGATGTCTCAGGCATCTCATTTTGCCTTGGTAGCTTGCTCGGGGTACACACAATGCTTCCAATGCTTAGGGCTGGTCTGGAACAGTTTGAGAAGCATTCTAGCAAGATCATTTCCGAATCATTTCCATGTCCGCTCAATCCGCTCATCTCAAATCTCAACAGGTTTGCCCCGAGTATGACCAAGCCGTTGCAGTCAGCGGCCCAATGCTTGCATCGACCCCACGCACTTGTGCATGTGCCCGCCAAAAGACACACGCGAACACAACGCGAACACAAAGGAATACATGCAGGTTGCGCATGCACAAACACTAGAAACACTAGCAGGTAAGGACATTCGAACGCACGTATGCGAACCCGCGCTCAGGCAGCTCAGGTGCCCCCCCTCTTATGGCTATCAACATGTTTGGAGTTATTTCCACATGCCACAAAGTGATGACATAACTTGTTCAGGACTTCCGATTTATTTAATCATTTCGGATGCAGATGACATACGAAAGATATCATTGGGTCAAGCACAAGTAAGAGAAGCACTTGAAGTATGTTGGGGCTAAGACCTTACATTTGGCAGGGATTGCGAGTTAGTATGATTGTTTTGCAGCTTTTCCCTTTTGGTTTTTGTTCGATTGAAGGCTTGCCATGAAGCTGTTGCGACTCTGAAGAGGCAGTCCGCCGCAGAGGCCAGATCTCTACCGACAAGATTGTTACATGACTGTCATCTATGGCAAATCATGCTTTACGGAACAGGCTTGGCACAACTCCCTTATACTTCCAGTCTATTTTGGCCGATCTCTGGCAGTCTCCGACAGACTCTGACCCTCACAGGCTTTGCCCCGTTACGAAGCTTTGCTGAAGGAAGGCCTGCCCGAACCCCAGCTGACAAGCAATAAGTGTTTTTGGAAAGGGCGTGGCGAGTGTTTCATTCAAGGTCTGAATTATTTTATAGTTCTTCAATGCTTTCCATATGTTTTTCTATATTTTGCTCAGCTGGCAGGTCCTTTCTGGCATTTTCTGCTCAATAATCCTCATGTTTTTTGCTGAAGATCTTGTTGCACTGCCAGAAACAATGGCCTTCGGGTGCTGTTGGCTTTGGTGCAACGGATTGTCATTCGTGAGGTCTGCCACCAGAACGCTTGGAGCTAGGCGTGCCAACGGCAGGGATAGAACAACTCTTGCAAGCAGCGAATGGTTGGATGTTTGGTTTGCTCCAGTCCTTCTTCAGATTCAAGATTTGATTTTGTCACTCTACTCCTGCGTCAAAGCACTCGGCACTATTCGTCCATTCTCTCATATTTCTCCTGCATCTCCCGCACAACAGACTGCAGGGATCTTCGTTGGCCTAGACCCATTGTGATGATGAAGCTGAAGACTCAGAGAAAATTTGGTGATTGATTTGGAGCATTGAGAGCTCTGAGTCCTTGGTGCAGCTTCTTGAATTTTGAGGCCCGAGTCCTCGTGCTTCTCTATGCCTCAAGGCCGCCCGTGGTAAGCTTTCGGAAACGCAAGAGAATTGAGAGCTTTGATTCTGAAGGCAGCAATGCAGGACAACTCGATGCACAACATCAACTGTACAGAGGGAAATCCTTGCCCTTGGACTCCCCAACCCTCTGGCCTCCCCAACCTTTCTGAGCCTTTCAATTCTGAGGCAAGGCCCGTTTGGCCCTTCTTTGCGGACCGACTGCAGCGTTGGATGGCCCAGCGGCTATCGCACTCTATAGATCTCTATAGTATTTACATGCTATAGTGTTTTACAATGTTTTATCTATGAGTCCACATATTATATATGTCCACATGATTTTGTGCAAAGGTCTGCTTCAGATTGCTTCTCGTTGCAATGTGTTTAGGCTGAGTACTCAAAAGCTAGCGGAGACTTCCGCGCGGCTCGGTGTCCGGCCAAAGGCGCCATTGGATTCACAGGGCAGGACAAATCAAGGCGGTAAATTATCCTAAGATGATGAGATTCCGGAGGATGAAGCTTGGGATGCAGCATAAATTGATGAAGCTTGGAATGCAGTATCAAAGCAGTGTAAATGCAGTGCATTTTGGCCAGGCTTGTGCTTTGACCTGGTGCATGGAGGCCTCTCTGAAAGAAACCTACATTGGTGCTTTGAGTTTGTTGGATTCAAAGACACGACACATCCCTATGCCATGGGTTTTTTGTTGCCTACTAAGTTCCACAGCAGCAAAAAAGGATATCCTGTGGCACAGGAAGGACTTGCCTCTGCTCCTTGAGGCTACTGAAGCATCTTCCAGTAGCGCTGTTTGCATAGGGCTAGAGCCAGCCATGCACTTGGCTTTCTTTCCTTGGTGAAATTCACACCACAAACACTGGATGGGGCAGAATTGCAGCCGACTTCCGACTTCTGCAGCCACAAAGTGGAGATTTTGCACTTTTGCTTAGAGTCTGCGTTTCCGCGTTTTTTTTTCTGAGGCAGCTGCCGAACCGCCATTAAAGCGCGCTCGCACCGCTGGAGGGTGCCTTGTCTGGCCAGTGTATTTGGAATGAAATGCTGTATGACACTTTACTAATCTTTACTAAACGTCAATAGAAACATCAGTTTTCTCAGTGTTCGGAAGTTCGGGCTGTTGAAAATGGGCGGATTCTTTGACTGGGCTTTTCAGGCCAGAAGGTACTGTACGTGTACGTCACATTCTTTTTCGCCACCCACAGCTGCCAGACACTTAGAAGCTAGTACAAGTATGCATACAAGTTGAGTAGGAAGCACACTCCAAATTACCTCAAATTTCCTGATGTCAGATTCGTCAAGATTCGTCAAGCAGAGAGCTGCTAAAGCTGTTAGAGCACCCTTGCCGCCTTGCCCGTGCCTTTGCCATCCTTTGCCGCCCGCTTCAGGGTTCCACAGCTCAGGCGCCAGGTGGATCCCATGGCGCGGCGCGAGGGCGCAGCTCGAAACGCAAGGACGCTCAGTGACACGAGGACGCCCCGAAAAAAACCGCTCGGAGCCACTTAGGAAAAACTTTGGAGACACCTTGCCACTTCCCTTGAGCAGTTTGTGATGTGATTTGTCTTCAGATGTTGCCCTCATCCCTCGACTCATCTCTCCTGATGTCTTGTGATGTCTTGCGATGTCTCATATAGTACAGCTTCCTTTGAGTACTCTGGTGCCACGCCAAGGTTCTTGAGGCGGAGTCAAATGCTTTGAAACTGCTGCAGGTGCTTTTGAAGGACAGGGTTCGCTGTTAGGCTACTGGCTATTGCGGCTATTGCGGCTATTGCGGCTATTGCGGCTATTGCGGCTATTGGCTAGATGATGATAGAGTCCATGCAGTGTCCCTCCTTGTTCCACACCGTGTGGGTTGCGATAAATGCACTTCAACACAGTGTTGATGCATAGAACAAAGAGATCAACGATCGACGACCAAAGACAGTAGACTCAGTAGACTGTTCCAAAAAAGCCTTGTAACACTCCCAATGTCCAATGCCAAGGGCGCAGGCAATTTCCTTTTTTTACCCCCTTGCGGAACATAAGCTTTTCAAACTTAGAAGACATTGCTGATCGGCCAGGATCCGAACCAATTCATCAAGAGTTGCAGAGAGCCACTTGGCAACGTTGATGCAAAAGAATCATTTTCATCCATTTTCTTTGTGTTCTCCTGTGTTTGATCATCATGATGTTGTCCGATGTTTGATCTGATGATATCTGATGTATCTATCCTCTTACAGCCCCAGAACAGCCAAATCTGATGTAAGGGTCAGACTCAGTGGGAGAAGCAGCCAGAGATTTTTTGAGGCTTTCGGATTGTCAGACTGCCGAGCAACCTGGACAATTGTTGGAGCCTTGGAGTCCAAGCCATTTTTTTCCTAGATCTCTAATGATTCTAATGTCTGAGTCTAAGACAAAGACTAACACCTATACGATATTTATACGATCATATACGCATGTGCTGGTCATATTTCCATATATTTCCTATAAGCAGCAATGCTTGGGGCCTCACAAAAAGACTCCATGGCGCTACCGTGCCAGTGTGATATGAAGACATGGTTCCGCAAGACTTGAGATATTCCAGGGACACTACACCGGTAAGATCCGGTAAGCTTGCCAAACAGTGGTGGTCAAAAAATGCAAGAGATCAGGGATCTAAGTTTGAGGGACAAATTCCAAGCTGCAGTGGAAGGTTCCATGGATATTCCATAGAAGATATAGAAGGCTTGAAGAGATTTGAAGAGATTTGAAGAGTTCAAAGCATGTTTTACGGCATGTTTTATCCGAGTGAATTTTTGGAGTCCTTTGACTTCCATGAATCGCTTGACCGAAATTTCAGGTTTTGCAGCCCCGTTGAATCCATTGAATCTCATGAGAGGTTCAGGTTTGAAATGTTCCCAGGAAAGGTTCCATTCAGAAAGGAGGACCTTGTCTTCGACAGTTTGAATGGAATGTTGGAATGTTCCAAGCAAAAAGAGAAACCAAAGAGCTTCAAAACATGGTCTTGTTCAGTTTTGGATGAAGTGCTGAGTTTTGGTGATTCACTCACTCTTCAGTTGAACCATGTAACAAAGCACCCAACCAGGGCGGGAGATCTTGGATGGTTGGCGTGCTGTCCTTGGATTTGAAGGGGTGAATGGTGAAGCTAAGTCGGAGATTGATAGCTTCTGAGAGTTATGAGAGGTCGCGTGATGTTTGATTGCCGCACGTGCTGCACAAACACAGGGACACATGCGGCCTTTGAGGCGCGGCCAACAAGAGGCAAGCTTCGAGGAGGTGGCGTTTGGTCGGCTGCTGAGACCTTCCTGAGCCAAGGCTTCTGCCAGAGTGTCAAATACAGTACCTCAGTACCTCAGTACCTCAAACTTCTATGACTTCTATGACTTCAGTGCACGAGGCCTGCCCGTGAACTCCATCGGCGACTTGGTCTCCACCAGCCGCGGTGTAGCCTGATCGAATTAGAATTGATGGTCCTTATGGATGACAGGGAAGATGCCGCAGAGTCTGGGAAGATGCCGCAGCTCCGCACACCGTGTGGAATTCGATGCAAACAGTGTCTATCTATCTATCTATCTACCTATCCATCCATCCATCTATCTATCTATCTATCTATCTAATGTATGCATGCAATGCAATGCAATGCAATGCAATGCAATGCAATGCAATGGAATGGAATGGAATGGAATGGAATGTATGTATGTATGTACCTACCTACCTACCTACCTACCTGTCTGTCTGTCTGTCTGTATCTACAACTAACTAACAAACTAGCTAAATGAATAAATAAATAAATATCTAAACATACAATCACATACATACATACATACATACATACATTACAATACATTACAATACGTTGCAATACATTACAATACATTACAATACATTACAATACATTACAATACATTACAATACATTACAATACATTACAATACATTACAATACATTACAATACATTACAATACATTATAATACATTACAATACATTACAATACATTACAATACATTACAATACATTACAATACATTACAATACATTACAATACATACATTACAATACATTACAATACATTACAATACATTACAATACATTACAATACATTACAATACATTACAATACATTACAATACAATACATTACAATACATTAGATTACAATACATTACAATACATTACAATACATTACGATACATGACGATACATTACGATACATTACGATACATTACGATACATTACGATACATTACGATACATTACGATTCATTACGATACATTACGATACATTACGATTTACGATACATTACGATTCATTACGATATTACGATACATTACGATACATTACGATACATTACAATACATTACAATACATTACAATACAATACATTGCAATACAATCATACATACATACATACATACATACATACATACATACATACATACATACATACATACATCCATGCATCCATCCATGCATGCATGCATGCATACATCCATACATCCATACATCCATACATCCATACATCCATACATCCATACATGCATACGTGCATACATCCATACATCCATACATCCATACATCCATACATCCATACATCCATACATCCATACATCCATACATCCATACATCCATCCATCCATCCATCCATACATATATAGATACTTACTTACTTACTTACTTACTTACATTAAATACATTACATACATTACATACATTACAATCAATACATTACATTACATTGCATTACAATACATTACAATACATTACAATACATTACAATACATTACAATACATTACAATACATTACAATACATTACAATACATTACAATACATTACAATACATTACAATACATTACAATACATTACAATACATTACAATACATACCAATACATACATACATACATACATACATACATACATACATACATACATACACTACACTACACTACACTACACTACACTACCATACGATACAATACAATACAATACAATACATTACATACATACATAACATAACATTACAGAACATTACATTACATTCCATAACATTACGTAACACAACATTACATTACATTACATTACATTCCATTCCATTCCATTCCATTACATACATACATACATACCATTACATTACATTACATTACATTACATTACATTACGTAACATTACATTACATTACATTACATTACATTACATACATTACTTACATTACTTACATTACTTACATGCATTACATACATTACATACATTACACACATTACACACATTACATACACTACATACATTACATACAATACATGCATTACATGCATTACATGCATTACATACATTACATACATTATATTCATTACATTACTTACTTACATTCATACATACATACATGCATGCATACATACATACACACATACACACATACACACATACACACATACGTACATACGTACATACGTACATACGTAGATACGTAGATACGTAGATACGTAGATACGTAGATACCTAGATACGTAGATACGTAGATACGTAGATACGTAGATATGTAGATACGTAGATACGTAGATACGTAGATACGTAGATACGTAGATACGTAGATACGTAGATACGTAGATACGTAGATACGTAGATACGTAGATACGTAGATACATAGATACATAGATACATAGATACATAGATACATAGATACATAGATACATAGATACATAGATACATAGATACGTAGATACATAGATACATATATAGATCGATAGATACATACATACCATAACATAACATTAAATTACATTACATTACATTACATAGATACATAGATACATAGATACATAGATACATAGATACATAGATAGATAGATAGATAGATAGATAGATACGTAGATAGATAGATAGATAGATAGATAGATAGATACATAGATACATAGATACATAGATACATAGATACATAGATACATAGATACATAGATACATAGATACATAGATACATAGATACATAGATACACAGATACATAGATACATAGATACATAGATACATAGATAGATAGGTACATAGATAGATAGATAGATAGATAGATAGATACATAGATAGATAGATAGATAGATATATAGATAGAGATATAGATAGATAGATAGATAGATAGATAGACAGACAGATAGATAGATAGATAGATAGATACATAGATACATAGATACATAGATAGATAGATACATAGATAGATAGATAGATAGATAGAGATAGATAGATAGATAGATAGATAGAGATATAGATAGATAGATAGATAGATAGATACATAGATAGATAGATAGATAGATAGATAGATAGATACGTAGATACGTAGATACATAGAAAGATAGATAGATAGATAGATAGATACATAGATAGATAGATAGATAGAGATAGATAGATAGATAGATAGATAGAGATAGATAGATAGATAGATAGATAGATAGATAGATATATAGATAGAGATATAGATAGATAGATAGATAGACAGACAGACAGATAGATAGATAGATAGATAGATAGATAGATACATAGATACATAGATACATAGATAGATAGATACATAGATAGATAGATAGATAGATAGAGATAGATAGATAGATAGATAGATAGATAGATAGAGATATAGATAGATAGATAGATAGATAGATAGAGATAGATGGATAGATAGATAGATAGATAGAGATATAGATAGATAGATAGAGATATAGATAGATAGATAGATAGATAGATAGATAGAGATATAGAGATATAGATAGATAGATAGATAGATAGATAGATACATAGATACATAGATACATAGATACATAGATACATGCTACAACGATTCGGTTGATACAAGGCACCAGCTTCACTGGAGGGACTGAAATTGCCGTGTCAACCTATTCACGTCATGTTCCACAGACGTCCCAGGTCCACATCATCCAACGTCTTGGCTGAGCTGCGACCTGTGGCCATGCAGGTCTCCTGTATCCTGACATGGGCGGCAGCGTTGAAGCATCCCACGGTATCCGGATACTTCGGTTACCCTCTGGTAATTTAACATAACTATGGAAATCACCCTTTTTAATGGGAAAACTCACTATAAATGGCCATTTTCAATAGCTATTTGTATGTTTACCAGAGGGTACTCATGTTTATTCTCAATGACATCCAAGCCTGGAGCAAAATTTGCCGCACCTCAACCAGGGTAACACGGAATGAGGCATGTGCCAGACAATCTCAAGTAGTGGCGCAGCTCGGAGGCAGCAAGGGGCGAAAAAGGCCAAATTCTGCCAGCCAGACTTGTTGATCCATGTTGATTCAAGCGTTGATCTCAGTTTCTTGCTAAGGCTTAGGTCAAAACAGAGCAATGTGGAACAGGTCAGACTGACCTCTGCACTGATCTGTAGAGGAAACCAGATCAACACAAAATGAAACTGGTACATCGATGTACATGGGTTTATTCATGTTCTTTGACATGCTTGATGCTTCTTGGTGCTTGGCTGTATCACTTGGGAAGATTCGAACCTGTGGATGATAAAGCAACCACCTATGAATAGCCAAATCCTGTGGATCAGTCACCTAGGATGAAGCTGTGTTTTAAAGGCGGATGTAACGCCCCAGTTCGACCCAGTCTGACTCAGTTTGAGGCCTCCCATGAAGTCTAAGTGACACTGACACCGAGTGACACCGAGTGACACCGTGCTCCTTGGCCCTTGGCCTCCTGGCTCAGCTGGACACAGCTGGACACTTGCAGATGTTTCGAACAATTTTGAACAGTTCAACGCGTTGAAAGCACCAAGCGATGCCTCCCTGCCACCTGGCACGCAGCACTATTCTTTTGGTTTGCAACAGGGCTTACAGGGCCTACAGGGCTTACAGGGCTTAAAGGGCTTACAGATTCATAGTGACTATAGTGTTGAATCACAAGTGTAACTTGGAGTTTTAGTCAGCACAAACTCTGACTGGCCTTTGTGTGAGCCTTGGAAGGCAGGTGGACATGTTTACGGCGTTTACGGATGTTTATGTGTCCTGTGAAAGTTTCGATCCGGAAGAACTATGACAGGGAGAGGTCACATGAGGTATCATGAGGTTTGGCGACAGTCAGGTAAGAGTCAGGTGACAGCTTTGAATTTATTTGACATACGTGGTTGAATTTTGTAAACAAACCTTTGACATTTGAGAAGAATTGGTGCCGCTACAATCGGTTGTTGCTCGCAGGACGATGGCATCTCCTGACGCTTCTGAACGAAGAGAGACAGAAAGAGCCGTGGCGCCATCAGCCCCGCATCCACCTGAGTTTCCCCAAGGAAGTCCTTCCGGGCTTCAGAGCATCAGAGTCATCTACCGGAAGACCTGAACATTTGGACTAGTTGACTAGTCTATGAAACTATTTTGTAATGTCTTACATATGTTACATATGTCTGGGGATTTGGGTGCAGTGTTCAAAATTCAATACACCTAGACCTAGGCGTTCAGAGCGGACGCAGCCCGGGCCGAGTGCCAAACGGATGAGAGTGTCCCGCGACTCAATTGCCTACAGAGCAGATCTGTAGAGAGCAGAACAGACACTCTGTTCAGCACAAGTCCTGCTGCACATCATACACGTCCCGCCAATCATGAATTTGTACAGAGATGCGAATCATTTGAATTTAAAGAAGATGAACCAAGCTGCGACGTGTGAGGACTTGTTGACCATTCCTTGTGGAACATTGTGGAACATTGTGGAACATTGTGGAACATTGTTCCACGTGGAACATTGTGGAACAAGGTCTCCCCCATGCGGCCTGAAGCCGGAACTGGTCTTCAAAGAGTTGATAGTTGATCAGGCTCAACTGCTCAACGTGCTGTTTCCTTTGCATTTCAGTGACATTTCAGTGATTCGACTGATCTTGCAAATCTAGGAAGAATGTTGGGGGATTGAAATTCGTCTTGATTGCAAAAGTACCTCTAGATACTGTACTGCTTCTCAGAATGAATCTTATCCGCTCATCTCATATTTGAAATCTGACTTTCGCTTAGACCGGCTTGTGAGCAAACATATGCTGGACTTGTCATATCCAATTCAGCACACGTTTCAAGGTGCAGTGGAACCGCAATGACAATGACAAGTTTTCAGCGCATGCTGACACGAATCACAACTTGTTCGCCGCTGTCTCAGTAGTATGTATACAATATGTACGCGAAGAAATCATCACACTGCAATCACACTGGAATACAGGAGACTTAAAAAAAATAATTCAAAAGACATCAAAAGACAATGGTACATCCTTTGCTGTGCCGCATTTCGTTGCTTTTATATGTAGACAGATGGACATTGGGGGACAGGAAGACGGATTGCGAAAACATGCGAAGACTGCGATGCATGGAGAAACTATCAGTGTTGGAGATCAATTTTGATCAACACACAGAGCTGTTTCCGTCGTAAATTTTGCACGTGCCATGAATACCAGTTGATGAACGCCTCCAATCTGCAGCGAGCCTGAGGTGAGTGATACAAACCGCATCGTGTGCTATGACCGCGATGGAAAATATCAGCCTTTGCTGTCCAACATTGAGGCCACGTGATGCCGCGTGCGTACTTGTGCGTACTTGGCAAATTCACTGGCTACATCTAATCCACTTCCAAGACATTGAGTAGCCATTTGAGATTCTGCAATGTTGTGTGAGTTCTGACACATTTGATTACATTCTGACTTTGTGAAGATTTTGTGAAGACTTTGCCTGTCAATATTTTGTGAAGAGCTCTGTGAATTGTGCAGCCACACCACATCGTTCCGAACAGTACTGCAGACTTTGCCTGGCCCTCGACCGTCCTGAAACTGAAACTGATCCGTGTTTTGACAGCCTTGCCATGTAGCGTCTGCGTTTGCATTATGTTTGTATTGTTTGTCAAGGTGGTTCTTCTTCGGAAATCAGACAAGCAGAAGCTGAGCAAGGCGTCGAAAGTCTTCGGCAAAGTCAATGATTTCGGTTGATTTTGAAGCTTGAAGCATCTTGAAGCGCTTGTTCTTGTGCAGGTCGATGCAAAGGGGAACGTGGCGACAATCTTAGAGGTGCCTCCAAATCGTAGGCTGAGATAGAGACAATGCTTGACCATGTGAAAACCGACAGTGACAGTGACACAATGTGATGCAGAGCACTTCGTTCCGATCTGAAGCTTTGCTGCAGACCCAAGCACCTTTGTATGGGCCTGACGTTTGCCCGAATGGCTCTATCCTCAGCATTAGTGGTCACTAGTGGCTTCCTGGATTGCATGATATCGCGATATATCGCGTGTGTCACCCAGTTACCCCAGTTTGGACATGCTTCAATTTGTGTTTCGACCTTGAAACCGTAGGTGACGTGGTGCATCATCCCTCCCAAAGTCGCCTTGAAAGACGGAGGACTTTCTCCTGGGAAGATGTGGGCATGACATGGCATGACCAGATGATATGAACGTTCGAAAAAATCCTTCCAAGAGATCAATGGTCAATCCGTGCTGTCCTGGAATTGATATCAACACCCGATAAGAATGGAGTGATAGATCTTCAATCACTAATGTATGCGTGCCCTCAAGTGTAGTTCTAAGTGTAGTTCTTTGGTATTTTGTTTTGTATCTTTTTGTAGCATTCGGATGTTCTTTGGTTCCTTTCAAATCATGGGCAATGCAAGTACTGCATCGTGCCAGTCCCAGCAATGAGTTGGTGGCTAGCATCGAAGGTGGCAGAGGGAAGGTGGGTCGCTGTGAATAGATTGTGCGTTCTTAGACGCTGACACCTTTTTCTGTGTATATATACATATATATATATTATAATCCGTTTACATCTCTCTCAATGGCCGTTCATCAGGTAATCTCCTTCGAGGTTCGCCCTCCACTGGAGCTTGCACGCTTCAAATCATGGTCATCCTGAGTTGTGTTGCAAGTTTGCTATTCAACAATAGTTGGGTACTGTTGGGTATTTGCAGAATCACTTGGTTGAAGCGCTGTATCGGTGTGAGCTGTGTATGATGATGTGTCCGTTGTGTCTACGGCTCAAGCTGATCCTGACAAAATTGTTCCACGGTGTCTGCAGCTGACATGGCAGACAAGGTGTGCTACAACTGGAGTTGTTTGCCTGCAGAGTGCGAAAGGCATTCTCTTTGCACGCCGCAAAGTGTTTGTTATCTCTCAGTATGTGTAGCTATGTAGCCTGCGTTGTCACAGTGTTGTTGTGCTGTCCTTTCACATCCTTTGGTCATGTGGCCTTGTGTCTTTGCGAGTGCTTGGAGGCTGATGACCCGATGGAGGTGGACGATGAGATGGAGGCGCGTCATGACAAGTCACCGAATGGGTCACCGAGCGAGTCCAAAGGACCAAGGCTTTTAGGGCTTTAACATGCTTTGACCTCTTCGCGGAGGCCAGTGAGGCCGCTAAGAAGGTCTTTGAAGACCTTCTCGACAAGGTTCGCAGGGCCGGTCTTGCCCATGTTTCATTCCAAATCGGAAGATAGACACGAGAGATATGTTTTTCAAAGCAAGGTTTCGAGTCTTGAGATGTCTTGCGTTTTGTACCCATGGACGCAAAAACAAAACATGAAGCCAAGCCGAGGCACAAAGCCTTGAAGTGAAAGATGCCTCCAAGGCCAAAGAGGTGCCTGTTCTGACGTATTCTGACATGGCCATCTGAGGTGATGTGTGCAGATGATGTGATCATGTATCGCAGATTATCGCAGCTAAAGTATGTCAGTATGTCTGAAGGACCTGAAGGATGAGGACTTTTTTAAAATCTTGTGAATCCCGAGGCCTACAAGGAAATCATCTTCAAGCAGGATGTTGAGGCACAGAAGTTTATTGCCAAGTGGGCTGTGTGGTTACTGCCTTGCAGAAGGATTTTTTTAGCGCTTGAAGCATGTCTTGAACTCGGGCATAGTGATCTAGACGAGGATCCAAATGCAAAGTATAGAGAAAAAGCGATTTACGTGACGACCTCGGTGCTTTCAAACAGGGAACGCTATGTGATTCTCAGAACTTGTGACTCTGTTTTTTTTTCTCGTTGCTGCTTGGTTCGAGGGAATTTGTTCCTCTGATGAGGCTCTTGGGGACCTCCTAGTGGCGAAGAAATTGCCGCAGGACATCTCGTCCCTCAGCAAGGACGCCGATGCAGTGACTAGGAAGCTCAAGGAAGCCCGAACGAAGAGGGCAAACTGTCCGCAGTGTTATGTGTGGAGGCTTTGTGTTCATGTCGGACAGCCGTTTAACCGTTAAACTGTGGATTTTTCAAGTGCATTGCTCACTGATTTTTCGTCGAACCTGGCTTTCAGGGGGATTGTGGGGGCCTTCGGGCCTTCGGGGCCATTTCACAATTTCACGTTCTTTTCACACTTCCATTTGTTCAAGGACCTCCGGCCCCTCTTTTCAGAGTTGCCAAAGGCGCTGAGTTGCATTGAAGTCGCAGCCACACACCAACTAAGCATCACCGAACTCTTGGCTCAGCCTTCTTGTCCCACTTCGTGAGATTCATACCTTGTAGCCTCAGCCTAATCAATTTGCTATTTAAGTTGGCTGAGAGCGCATTTTGGGGTCATGTTTCCAGCTGTTGATTTTTTGAGCCCGAACTGCTAACAGAGTTATTCTGAGTTGACATGAATGATGAAGTCCATTTTTTTTGTATTGAATTGATACGGGCAATAGTTCAAACTGATGCGCAGCTTTTGTTCTTTTGACTCATTATGCTCTATGACAACTTCATTTGCAGCTTTCTGAACTTAAATCATCTTAAATCCATCACCAGCTGGGATGACCTTGCCTCCCACGACATGATCTTTGCAGCACTTCTCGTGCAATCTGCTAGGCCAAGACAGCAAAGATCGTTAGACACCTCATTGACCTCTTGGCAAAAACAGAGGGCTCGCAGGCAAGACTTGGGGACGGTGGACTGTGGTGGACTCGATAAGTCGGGGACAACGTCTCTCCTGTCAGGCTTTGCAGATAGAAATGTGCAAGGATTGCATCCTGTGGTGCAAAGGTGTTGTCCTCAGCTATGCGTGTATGGCTATGATGCACTCCAGCATGTCATGCCATGCCAAGCAACGAAACACACAACAGTTGCCACCTCAAAATGCATTTGAAATGCACTCCTAGTGTGAATGAGGCGAGAAGAGAACTTTTCTGCACGGCACTCAATCGTTTTTCTGAAGATTGCGGTGGCTTGATGTGTAATGGAGTCTTTCAAATGTGACCGGTTGTTCAGGCGCCACAGAGTAGAGACGAAGCTCGCTGGGTTGTACCTGCCTGATGCTTGGAGGGCCAAACAGTGAGATAGGACAGACAGACATGGACAGATGCCGACAATTGATTTGTTGGTCGCTCGTGGAAGTCGCTTGCATTTGGGGAGATTTGGGGTGTGTTTGACGCTTTTTCCCCGGAGTGCAAGAAACGCAAGCGAGACTAAGGGTGGAGCTTAAGTACCAGGATTCTTTGGAGCTGCTAACGTACTCCCTTCAGAATTTGATTCTCACCGGGCAGAGTTCTTGCAACGATTCCGGTGGAATGTTTGCCTTTGAAAGTTTGCAGTCATGACGCATTTCATTCAAGTTGCATACGAGTCAGTTTAATAATGCTTCAAGATGCTTACAACTTAAAGTCTCAGTAACTGATAGAATAATGTGAAATTTTCTGCGGCAGAGGCAGAAAGTCATTTTGAAGCCACGGCACCGAAGCTCGGTCGAAGCGTGGCATCCGTGGCCTTGTGTTCTGCCAGGAGGCTTCTGTCTGAAGTCAAGAAACTGGATGACAAGCTGCTTCTTGTCGAGTAGAGCTGCCTCGCTTAATCGAGTCTTGCTGCCACAATCTGCCACACATGGCACTAGACCAGAGAGCTGTACTGGTGATGAAGAGTCGCAAGAACATTTGAGACCTGAGTGATTTTGAATGTTTTGCTTCGCATTCCGATCTCACTGAAGCTCCACGTTTCAGGATTCACAACATCGAGTGCCGCGTTCACTATGCTGTGCAGAATATGCCAAAGGCAAGAGCTATCCAGCTTTTACCTGGGAACGAGACGTTTCTTGCTGCGGCAACGAACGACTGATGGAATTTGAAGGACCAGTTATATTCATATTGTGGGATGGATCCTTTGTCGTTCAAAAGCATCGTTGGAATGTAACTTGGCCATTTTGGCGGAGGCGAAGGCGGCTCTCACTGCAGCAAAAACGAACGTTTGAACCTTGGGTGTTTTATGGTGTTTTGCACGGAGATTGAACATGATTGAACTACCATGAACTACCAAGATCATCCAGAAATTGATCATCAACCATTGATCATCAAGATCCAGAATGATTCGAATGATTGAGATGTGTCACGTCGAATCCGGCCTCGTGGCCGCGTGGCCGCGTGGCTGTGAGGCCAATGCCATCCACTGTCCGCCTTTACTCCAGGCAGATTCGATGAACTTTGGACATCTTTGGACCAGAACTGTTGGGACAACCTCGGAAAAGTATCAACAAGACAGCACAAAAGGATACAAAAGGATACAAAAGGATACAAAAGGAACGTAAATCAAGATCATAGATAGATATAGATAGCATGTCAGAATATGTCAGAGCATTCTCTTGACTGTGCTTTGTCCAAGGCTGAGATTGACCTGCTGTCAGGGGTTCTCAGTGCCCGCGAGAAGGCAAGAGCAAACGGTCGATGTCCAAAGTCCAAAGTGTGGAAATATTTCTTTGCCCAGCCTGTTGCAATGTTGCAATGTTGCAATGTGAAGCTTGTGCGCAGCCAATGTGTAGCCAATGCGTAGCCAAGGCAAAATCTGCTTCTGTGTGTTTTCAGGTCGTCTTGTTGTCTTGCTCTCTGTTGATTCTATTGTGCAAGGATCATCGGACAGCTTTCTCCTACTTCTATGAGGCTTTCGAGGCCTACCACCAGACAAGCAGTACGGCCAAGGCATGGCTTGATACCGTTGATACCGTTGATACCTCTTTGAGCTTTGAGCTATTTTGAGCTCGTGAATTGCTGCAACATTGATAACATTTCCTCATGGAGTCCCATGGAGGCCAGAACAGCGATGAAGTACATGCTTCTTTCGAAGATTATGTCCAACCAGCCAAAGGACAGCTCCAGGGATCTCCAGGGCTCCAGGGATCACATTCTGATACGAACTGGTCATCGAACTGGTCCTTTGAGGAAACGAACACCATCATCAGCAGCAAGTCTGGTCTTGATCTTAGGGAAGTTGAGACTGGAGAGAAAGTCACGAGTGCCTTGAGTGCTATGAGTGCCTTCATGCTTCTTTACTACTTTAGCTTCTGTGCCTTCAGCCACCTGTCAGATGTTCTTGTGAATTCTTCCGCGAAACACACTCTGACGTATGCCTTGACCATACGAGAGTTGTACGTTTTTTATCGTTTTTTCATGTTTGACACTCTGCAGGGCTGCAGTATGTGGGACCAGAGATCGACGCCATGGCAGCAGTCGCCAGTGCGCACGAGGCAAGCAGAGATAGGGATGTGATGCACTGTGGTTTGGTCCCACACAACAAACAGCTCCCGGATGAGTCAAGAGTAGGAAATTGACGATCCCATAGACTGTGTGTTGGCGCTTGAGTGGGAGAGTGAGTATGTGATAGCATATATATATATATTATACACATACATATCATACACATATATACATATAATAATATAATATATATATATAGTATAAATGGGTTCTGAGGTAGTGACATGAAAAGGTGAAACAAACAAGGAGTGTTGGGAGAGTCAGGCTCGGTCGCTGAAGAAATTCGAAGCAGTCCTGGAGCAGCACAAGCATCAGCTCTCTGAGGACGTTCTGATGTGCCTGAGAGCCTACCATGATACTATGAATCATATTGAATCATACTAAAATGTGACTCATCGACACATACAAGCAGCCTAGCAACCTGCTAGCAGCTAGCAGCATCGATCCATGAAATTTGCTCCAGGACCCCATCATTCAATTCCACCTTTCCGATCTCAACGAGACTCTCTTGGAGCAGAACATCCTTAGGAGCTCGTGGTGTGTGACAGGTTGAAATCTGGATTGGGCAGGAAGCTGCACTGATGCACGTGTAATGCACATGACCTACATGCATGTAGTATGTTGATGTATGTTGTAGTGAAAAAAACTCTGTGAAACAGCGGGAGGATATTGGAACCCTTCAGCCGGGTTGAGATCACTCATGTAGCTGAGCTCATTGAGCTGCCTTTGGTTCGAACTCAGGCCCAAGATGGGTGCGTTCACAGATGTTGGCAGCGTTTGTAGTTCCATAATTCTTCAGTCTCTCCTTTGCAGTCCTGCTTTCTGCCTTCTATGGACAAACTCTTCTGGTCCTTCACATGACACCTACATGAATTGCATTCAATTGCGTTCAATTGCATTCCTAATCAGATCAGAGGCAAAGCTAAGTGAGATGATCTTGGACCAGAAGCTCAATGGCACTCTGGACCAAGGCACAAAGAATGACACCTGTAGCACTCTGTAGCCTGTGCCGATCCAGCCATTGTGGAATTGTAACATGTCCCGGATCATCCTGGATCTCAAAATCTCGCACAGGCGTGGGTGTTCTCATCGTGTTTGATCAAGAGCAGGCCTGGAGTTGAGAAAGACTCTTGCTTTGAGTGCTTGAGTCATCTGAGGCAACCTGCTGGTTGCAAACATTGGTGAGTCGCCGATGCTGATGTGTGAGTCTCACAGTCACTGACAGTGTGAGTTGTTGAGGTGAGCTCAACATACGACAATTCATTGAAGACAATCAAGAACACATCAGAGGCGCCTTGGATGCCTTGGATGCCTTGGATGCCTTGGCTTTGCAAATTCACACAATTGGGTATGGGTCAATAGTCAATACCTATATATACATTTTTAGTGGGATGAACATCTATTTACCAGCTATTTTGATGTTCACCAGGGGTACAAGGTTTTGACCCATCCCCAATTCACAAAATTCACAACTTGACTTACGGCGACTTACGGCGACTTACGGCAGGTTGAATTTTAAAACAAGTGGAGTCGCTCCAGTTGTGATTTCTTTTCCTTGAAGGTCTTGGATACCCTCTATGGCCAGGCAAAGCAGCTTGCCTAAGGACCTGCACCTGTGAGGGAAACATGAGAAATTGCCCCTGGTGCTTCCATTCATTTCATAGCACGCAGCCAGGAGTCTTCAGCGATGGCAAGAACGGAAGCTGGAGAGAAACAATATTTGCGGGATGAAAAGTCCTACCATGTTAAGCTCAAGTTATCATGCATCGATGTTTGAGCACACCCAGTCAGCCTAGTGTAGATTTTCTTAGAGTACCTTGTCGGAATCTTTCAATTCCTGAGTTTGATTCATGGACACTTCTCCTACTAAAAAAATCTAAAAGATTAGGGTGAGCAGGAAAGCAAGACACACCATAAAACCTGCCCCAGGAGTGTTTCAGCTTTCTTATGCTTTCTTGCATTTTGTTGTACTGTGTTGCGTGGGAGTTGCAGATGGTTGCTGTGGAAACATTGTGGAAATCAGGGTGGAAAAGGTCGCGCGCTTCCTTCGCAAGCTTGGCCCAGCTCGTTTCGTCTTTAGGTCTGAGGGTTTGGTCGAAGGCCAGGCGCTGTCTCAATGCAGTGGCGAAAAGTGGAAATGCAAAGAGAGAATGAGACGGTACAAATCGAAAGATATGAAAAGATATGAAAAGATATGAAAAGATATGAAAAGTGTAAACGCAGCCGAAACGGAAAAGAATTTGCTTTGCAGCTTTGCTCACAGGCTGAAGACATGTCCTCAACTGACTCTGGCTTCGAAAGCTTCCTCGGAGCAATGAGAGGTGCCGAAGACCGCCATGTCCCTCCCTCAGGACTCTCGGGGACCGTCGAGCGACCGCCGAGTGACTGTTGTACTGAAATTGGAGAAGTTTTTTGGGACAACTTCAGTTTGGTCAGTTACGATCACTGAGCAATCAGCTCGGCATTGTCAGAGCTTGTAACATGCAGAGAGCTTGCCTCTAGCATGCTCCTCTCCTAGGCGGCCACGTATTACTGCTTTGGCACTGTCTGCAGCTCAAGTTGTGCCATGGTGTACCTCTCATCTTTGCGTCATTGAGTTCTTGACTTTTGCGGCTTGAGGATGACAAGGACAAACTTGTGAACCCTGCAGAGACCTTTAACCAGTGCAAATCCCAGACCAAGAACAGGTAACTGCAAGACTCTCAAGCTCAGGTGAAAATGAGAAGAATCTGTCCAAGATGGGAAATCTGGAATAATACAGAGGTAGATATGGTAGAATTACATGGAGTGATACTGTAATTATATGTCAATTCACCCTACTGAGAATCAACCGAATAGACTCTTTGAGCTTGAGGTTCCTGAAGGATGCGCCAAAGCCGGGTGGAAAGGGTGATGGCAAGGCCAATGGGTCATCGCTGATTTCAAATGCTGTCAAGTAGTTACTAAGATTTACTAAGTAGTTAAGTATAGTAATAGTATAGTTAAGTAGTTGCTGCTTCAACGGGTTTTTTTCTATCTAAAAGCGGTTGAGTTCATGCTGGACTCGTCCTCCGGTTGACATGGCCTTCGGCGCAGGGGAAATGAGGTCGCCAAGATCCTGTTCTGAGCTGGCCATGAGATTCCGCAGTCCTGAAATGCAAAGCGATTCAGTGGATTCAGGGGCTTGAAGAAAGTGTCATAGTCAAATCTATGTCAAATCTATGTGAAATCTATGAATCTATGTCATACTTCTTCAATGGTACACCGATCATCGATTGAAAGCGCAAGTTGTTTTCGCAATCTTTTGAAAAACCTGCTGAACTTGTTTGAAGAAATTACCAAGGAGACACAGTCTAACTCCCGTCCGGACCCGCTCTGAGATCATGACAAGGAAGTGTAGCAATTATTCTGAATTCTAACGTTACCTGTAGATGAGTAAGCAGCCTTCAAGCAAATAGTGTCAGCAAGAGACTAGGACATCACATAGAGGCTGGGCAGACGTGAAGCTTCCAAGATGCAGTGAGAAGACGGAGATCGGCACTTGAAATGGGAGTCGGAACAGTTTTTTCTTTCAAACAGATGATTGATTTTGTGTGGTCCTTTATACATAATTGGCTGTTGAAGCTACTGATTTGGGATGAGATGATAAGACTTGTTGATAGAGGTGTACTTAGTGTACTTGCATTGATGGCATTGGAGATAGATGATAGAAATTGATAGAAGAGTTCTTCCTTTCGCACGTGACTTTGCATGGTTTGCAACTGTACGAAGCTACTCTCATTGGGTTGCGATTCGAGAGACAAGCTGGGCTGTCGACTGGCAACAACTTCCTGCCCCCATTTGCTCAGATGAGCTATAAACATCTATAAACAATATGGAATTGCATGGACTTACATTGGAGCTACACTGGATATTGCATGGAACTTTGGACGTAGCCGGACGTAGCCCTCCAGCGCAGCAAATCATGTCAAACCTTCCACGGCAAGCCAAGTGCTCATCGGCAAACACACCTGCTTTTGCTGACGGCAGACTACATGCAGTGGTCACAGGGTCGGGGTTCTGGTCTTGGCTCTTTCTGTGGCAGATAACAATGTGACACAAGCCTTTCGGTCATTTATTTATTTTCATGCATTCCTGCTTTGTTTGAACACTCCTGGCACCAGTCAACTAATACACATGGACCTATGTTTGGGCAGAAGTGGACATCTAGGCGAAACAAGCTTGTGTAACATCATTTCCGCATGTTTCCATTCTAGTCCTGTTGGCCCCTGAATTCATGGGAGCGCATGCTTCAAAATGCGTTGGAACATGCCCTTAGGCTTTTGCTCCTAATTTCTGTACATGGCAAACTCGCCGAAAGCTCAGTTAGCTGTGCTGAACTCATGATATCCTACCGCCGTAATTTGGAATCCCATATCCAGTCCCTCTATGGACCTGGGTTCAGGTTGATGTTGCCCCTAATTGGAAAGAACCGCTGCTTCCCTTGAAGTCAAGCATCGTCACAGCAACCGGGCGTGCACTGTATACATTGATAACAAACAGCTACGCTTGTCGCGAGGCAATATCATGCAGTCCGCAAGCGCATGCACAACCCTCAAGACTGACTGCTTGCTTCAGTTCATGCGTCTCCTGTTGCCACTTTCGCGACCTTGCAAGCTTCCATGCCGTACATTCAATCGACACTGCTCTTTTCATGTTGCAAATTCCGGAGAATTTGCGCAGGGTATCATCCCAAATCATGCTAATTGAGTATGGATCAATAGCTATTTTCATACCATTTTTAGTGGGTTATTCACATCCATAAATCCCAGCTATGACTTGATGTGAACAAAAAAGGGGTTTCCATGGGTTTTGACACACTGCCAATTGACGCTACTTGCTGCCCTGCAGCATCGGTCTTGCAAGGCAGTCGCCTCCAACGATTCCACCTGCAGCCGTAACTTGGCAGCCCCAGGCTGACATAGCGAACTGGAAGCCATGGCCCATAGAAAGTTCGTGGATTTTCCCATTGATAGCATGGTGATTTTCCATTGCTATGTAAACGTTTACCAGAGGGTAACAGAATTGGCCACAGATCTGGAAGTCACTGGAATCACTGGAGGACCGGCAGAATAGTCAGACACCTCGGAGTGTGCGGCTTGACCCTCAGATCATGCGGCTACTTGAAATGAAGGTGAGAGTACACATTGAATTAAATCACATTAAATCACATTAAATCACTTTCATTATTGTTGTTATTACTAGTGTGTCATAGTGTGTCATTTTCTTCTTTTCTGGAAAGATACACCGCATGCCGAAGGGGCCGAATAGATACTTGCCATCTTCCACTCACCATGCTTGAAGGTTCTTGACTCTATTCGAGTGCTCTTGTCCCATTTCTTGAGTTCCTTTGCCTGAGGCCAGATGTGCAGGTGTTGCTTACTCGCAGGGCCCCTACTCAAAGATCTCACGAGTAAGGCATAATGGCATACCATACTACAGAGGTCAGGTTCTTTCAAAGGGATTTGTATTTGCTGCAGCCTTTAAAGAGATTGATGCAACACTGATGTACCCTAGGATTGTTGGAAGTTTCATTCTGATTCACTCTGACAATCGCAAGTTTTGCCATGTTTTGCCTGATTGGTCCACTTGGATCTTTCAACCTTTGGCTCACAAGGTGATATACCAAACATAGAATAGAGCACAGAATCCATCCAAACACTGCGCAACTAGACTAGACTTGGCATGGCAAGAGGCCTTGTCCATCAAGAAAACCACTTTTTTCCGATTTCCGGAAGCAAGATCCACGATAGCAATTCCATGAGACTCTGGAGACAATCCAGGGAAAGTTCGTTTGGAATGAGATGAGATGATGAGATGATAGATGGAATGATAGATGGCCAAGATTCACAAGGCGAGCAAAAAGAACGCAGCACTGCTCGAGTTTTCCTCAGTTCGTAGATCGTCCGACGCTGATCCGACGGAATCCGACGGAATCCGATGGCCTGCCCTTCTGCAATCCGACGGCCTCAAATCTCGAGTGAAGTAGTGCAGGCATTGACAGGGACTGGGTACATGGGCATACTGGCCATGGGGATCCATGGGGTAGGAAAGGAGTTGGAAGATGTTGAAGGAAGATGTTGAACATGTAGCAGGGCAAGTCCTTGAGCAGTTTTTTCTCATAGTTTTTCAAAAAATCTTTCTATGTCACAATGCAGAGAGAAGCTGTCAAGCAAGGCAGGGCCTCCGAGCGCTGCGGGGTACAGTACCCCTGGCAATGGCACTCAGCCCAGTATAGATATGATGCAGACAGGCGGGGCGGTGGTGTTTTCGAAAGCAGTTTCTGTTCATGATTCCCTCGTCTTCATTTGGCACAAATGGATACAAATGGGTTTACCTGCCCAGCCTGCCAGCTGAAAACTCGTCTACCAACAAGTAAAGAACATAAAGAGTTGTGTGCAGCAGTCTTGAGGCATGTCAAAGATACGTAATGTCGAGAGATTTGAGAGTTAAGATTAAGATCCTTGTGCAGGCTGAGTAATATGGCACGTTGTGTGATGCCCGTCTGTGCAGGCACTCCATCCTTCCGCAGCAGCGGCGTAGTCTTGCAGGCAAGAAACCTGCCAAGCCTATGCAAGTTATGCAAGCCTAGCTGATTGAATCTTGTAAGATCACATTGCTTCGACCTGAAGTAGCATCTAGTACTGAGTCATTTGGTGAAAGGCAGTTGAACGCCCTTCTTCAAAAGGGTCCTTGGCTGAAAGCATCCGCCCAGAAGCTTGAAGAGTTTGAGTCGCGCGTTTTATCGGCTTTCTTGTTTTTCTTTCTTTTGGTCTTGTCCCTGTCAAGTTGCAATATTTTTTCTTGTCATTTTGTGCAGATTCCTCGGCGAGTGTTGCAGGAAGTGAAGACTGATGGCTGCGAAGTAGCTCCTCCAGTTTTGCCGTCACCGACCAACTCGCAACGGCAGCCCATGATGCCCAGGAGTTTTCGCAGTGTTCGGTCAGCAGTCCATGGTGCAAACTGGGGACCTGAAGTCTCAAGTGCATTGGCCACAAGCATTCCAATGCGAGCACCGCAGAGACCTGGTTTTGGCTATCAAAGGCCAGTTTTGGAGATGAACGCCGAAGATTTGCCCTGCATTCCTCAGCCCAGCTTGGAGACGCCGACCTATTCGCAGAGGCAGCCAATGATGTCCCGCAGCAATCGCAGTATGCGGAATCAGGTCATGACTGCAGCAGATGCCGAGACAATCCCTGCAGTTTCACCACCATCTGCTCCAATGGCTGCAACTGCACCAATCGCTCCAACTCCAACTACTCCAACGACTATGCATACCGGAGCTACACCCAAGCCCCGCGGTTTGAAAATTGCAGCTCTGGAAACGGACTTGGACACCACAGGGACATTCAAGCTGAGCGGCATGGTCACTCCGACAAATCTTGACCGAAAAAATGCTCAGATGAGTTTGGAAATGGGCACCCCATCGTTCCGGGGCAGTGCAACCCCAACGCTCCAGAGACTTTCAGCTTTGCCGGTCAGCTCGGGCACTCGAACATCCGGATAAGCATCCCTCAGAGCCAAGAATTCAAAGGTTTGGAATTTTCTAAGCCTTGGCCAATTTGAGATCCACATAGATCCAGCACATCTAGATTGTGACCCAGCTTTTTCAATGATCATTAAGGATGTATTTGATATATTTGATACGCTTGACTCGACAGATCTGGATTTGGCCGCTGTTTTTGCTGATCTTGCTCTAAAGTCACCGATGGGTGAAGCACAGAATCAGCTCCTGCAAAGCTGCTTGAAAGCACTTTGCAGACAAAGCATCAGGTTTTGCAAAAGCTTGGAGTGCTCCGGCTGGAGCAGGATCTTCAGCCATCCAAATCGTAGATAATGATAGATAATGTAGATCTCTTAAAACTTAAAACCATGGCTACTCAGAATGTGAAATGGCTCATGACGATGGAGAATTGTTCAAGGTCTGAATTGTTGAACGTTTCGGAATGGTCGCTGTAACACTCTTTGCAGACGCGTAGCCGAGCACGGATGCCTTCCTGAGGTCCAAAGGCAAGTCCGAGCCTGGTGGTGGCTTTAGATTTTGGAAGTACAGTTTGCTTTGTGTTCAGTTGTCCAGACTGTTCAGACTGTTCAGACCCTTTTGCACCTTCATCACTTGAACCCGTGAGCGTGCACAGATCGCGGCAGATTGCACAGAAGCACTGGGTCAAAGAGATCAGAGCGATCACAGCTGTTTCGCTGCTTCAGTGCAGCCATGGCTTCAGCAGCTGGACTTCGATCTATTGACTCAGTGGCCGGTGTAGGCGCTGAAGCTCGCAGCGCGAACTTTGCAACTGAATCAACTGAGTTCAGATAAACATTTAAATTCGGAGGGTAATTTATTTATTTTTTTTTTTGGGTATATTTTTTTTTTTCCTCCTCTCCTGGTGGCTTCTGTGGCTCCTGGTGGCTCCTGGTGGCTCCTGGTGGCTCCTGGTGGCTCCTGGTGGCTTCTGCGGCTCCTTGTGGCTCCTGGTGGCTTTTGCGGCTCCTGGTGGCTCCTGGTGGCTTCTATGGCTCCTGGCTCCTAGAGCTCCTCGCTCCTATGGCTCATTTATCATCTATCGATCAATCTATCAGTGAAGCATGTTCACCAGGTGCATGTTGTGCATTAGATACACCTTGAGTATCATCTATCTATCTATCTATCCATCCATCTATCTATCTATCTGTCTATCTATCTGTCTATCTATCTATCTGTCTATCTATCTATCTAACTATCTATCTGCCTATCTATCTATCTATCTAACTATCAAACTATCTATCTACTTGATTCTATCTATATCTATCTATGTCTATCTATATCTATATCTATCTGTATCTATCTATTTCTATCTATATCTATCTATATCTATCTATATCTATCTGTATCTATCTATATCTATCTATATCTATATATATCCATCTATATCTATCTATATCTATCTATATCTACGTATCTATATCTATCTATATCTGTCTATATCTATTTATATCTATCTATATCTATCTATATCTGTATCTATATCTACATCTATGGCTGTATCTATATATCTATATATCTATATATCTATATATCTATATATCTATATATCTATATATCTATATCTCTATATATATATATATATCTTTATATCTCTATATATTTCTATATATATCTATATGTATATATATATCTCTATATATCTCTATATATCTCTATATATCTCTATATATCTCCATATATTTCTATATATATATATCTATAGTTATATCTATATATCGATATACCACTATATATCAATATATCTGTATATATCTATATATCTATATATCTATATATCTATATATCTATATATCTATATTCCTATATTCCTATATTCCTATATCTTTTAATCTATATATATTTTTAAATCTATATATCTTTAAATCTTTAAATCTATATCTATATATATACCTATCTATCTATCTATCTATCTATCTAAAAGGTTTGCATTATCATCCGGATGATATTCAAACCCCAAGCCAACCCTGAACCAAAGCTTATATAAAGAGATCTTAAACCAACTCGATGATAACATCAAATGAAACTATTGTGCATCGTTGTGCCTTAATCTACATTCCACATGTTTCCAAGGTGCATGTCGTGTAGTATATACACCTTAACTTGAGTATCACATTCAACCCAGCACCTTGCATGTGAAAATAGGTGTTTCCAATCTGCTTTGGGGGGGAGGCGCTGCGCCCTCCCCCCCAATCCCCCCCCTCCCGCTTTTTTTTATTTAAATTCAAACTTGCACACATTTCAATACACTAGTTTGGTTAGACTATATATATATATTATATTGTATATATATATACAAGGAGGGCCCTCAATGAAGAGGGCTGAAAACAGCGTCCGTTAGCGACCCCAAATTCAGACCTTTTGCACACACAGCACGAGGCCCCACGTATAGGGTCAAAGCAGCGGCTCCCCCCCCGCACCCCCAGGATCAATGTTGTTTCCTGGTGTTAATCACTGCAGCAGCCATCTTCCAAAGCGTCAGGTCTTCACAGCAAGACATTTTCGTCAACCTTGATTCCGGGGGGTGCAGGGGGGGGCCAACATGTGGCCGGAAAGGCCCTTTGAATTAGGAAGAAACACATGTGCCGTCACTCCAGGTGGCACATCACAGCTGCAAGACCGCGTGATGTTTGTGTGTGAAAACTAACAATGATCAATGGCGATGTCAATCTTTGCATTGGCTCCACTGCAACACTAGCATGCTTCGGTGTGAAACTACTAAGCACGATGTCACAACTTTATATTGGCTCTGCCGCAAAACTACTATGCTTCTGTGTGAAAACTACTAAGGGGAATTTCAAACTTTGTATTGGCTCGGTGGCAAAACTACTAAGGAATTGTTCAATGGACAAAAAAGGAAACACTTTCTTCTATTTCTTTTCAATTGGCAGAATTCCTTAGTAGTTTTGCGTCCAAGCCATTGTGATTTCAATTTCACGGGTTAGTAGTTTTTCATGCGTGCATGAGCTGTGACTCTGCCGTGCCAATACAAAGTCTGCGAAAATGGTTGGAAGTATCCTTAGTAGTTTTTTGGGGCCACAGCAAAAACAGGTGCCAAAGCACGCAAAAACGTGTTTTTGATGCCTTGGGAGACAGCAGTCGTTAGGTAACCTGCCGCGTGTGACTTCACCACATTCCTGTCTGACTCCTTTAGAGACAGCAGTCTCAAGTGCTTCAGTGAGACATATAGTTTTGAGGAAGCTGCTGCTGACTCCTCGGGAGACAGCAGTCACAAGTGCTTCAGTGAGACATATAGTTTTGAAGAAGCTGCTACTGCTGACGGGTCATTTTGAAGGCCAGGAGCCACGAGAGGTCTTGGGTGCTCAGTTTGCCCGCCGATTTCAGGACTCTGCGTCGTTTTTTCTCCCGGCGCAGAGCTGAAACAAAAAGATTGAAAGTACAAGTGGTGCGATGCAGGTGCAATGCAGCTTCACCAAAAAAAACCTGAGATGGGAAAGATGAAGGTGCAAGTGGCACGATGGAATGTCAATACAGCTTCACCAACACAAACATGGCACACAAGGATGAAATTGAACCAGCCTGGGCCTTGACTTCTCGACTGGTTTGCTGCAGCTGGCGTTTCAAGGCCTGCCTTTCAGCTTTCAAAGCAGCTATACGGTCATCCATCCCGGGCACATGGGCTACAGCAGCACCTTCCGCAGCATCCCTTTCCATACCAGCGGCGGCAGACGACATGGCTATAGATATAGTCAAATTGTGTTTTCTGCGACGAGCTGTGAGCAGTGCTAGCTGCAGAAGCCATGCCGTCTGGACAGCTTCCATGCCAATTTTCTCAAACTGCACAACTGGAAGATAGTGTGACAAAACATGGCCGGTGGGGGCCCAAAACTGGGGGCTTGAAAAGTGATGCCAAAGGGACTCCCGTACCATGTACCCCCATAGTATTATGGAAAAAAAATCTTTGTCCTATAGTGCCACCCACGTCTGCAAATCTTTTGGATCCACCCGGAGCGGCAGCATCAAAGAAAAAGAGCCTTATACGCGTGCGCCATTTGGCGTCGCGCTGGCCAAACGCACTGCATCTGCTGGGGTGTCGGCCTGTCAGGCCCAGGCCAAGGCACCCCTGCACCCATCAAGTGTTGAAGCGCTTTGTGCACTTGACCTGGGCCATTGCAGCCCACTGCATCGAAGCTTTTCTGCCATTGCCGAGCTGCCCAAAATTCGTGTGGGGCTTGCATGCACTGCCATAGCCAGGCCAGAGGAGGCACTAAACCATGCTCTGAATATGAGCGCAACTCCTGGTGCTTCCTTTTCAAATATTGTTTAAAAGGGGAGAAGCCTTGCAGATCAAGCGGCTGTAGGTAATCCGTTGTCTGCGCTGGGATATATACAAGCTGCAGCTTGCACTTGCGTGCCATTGCCATGACCTGCCGTGGCAGGTGTGCCGGCGCACAATCAAGGAGTACAACGCCTTGTTTTGACGGAAAAGTTTTCAACACTTCTGCGATCTCTTTGAGAATTTGGGCACTGTTGGCAGCAGAGGTCCAAGCGGACTTTTGCCGCAAAACACGCAAACGAGTTTGTGGCAAAGCGCGCTGGGCGCGCAAGAGCTTCTTCATGAGTTTCACCTGGGTGCCAATGAGAAAATGAGGCAACTTCCCTTGGATGTGCTTGCAGTTGCAAATCACGCTGACATAAGTCCACGCACCTCGACCATGTTACTTCAGCACCTGTGCATGCGGCTGTTTGCCCCCTGCTGTCCGTGGCTTTGCCACACATCCAATAGGCGGTGTCATGGTGTGGCCGACGCTAGTCTCATCCAGATTTATAAAAAGCAGCTCCCTGTCCGCGAACCTGCTGTGGCAATAGCAGATGGTCCGCCAAAATGTCATGACCTGCTCGAGCGCTGCAGGAAGTGAAAGACAAAGCCTTATTATATATAGGGTCCCCAAATATAATTCCGAGGGAAGAAATTGATTGAAAATGGGGGCCTATTTTTGGTGCCAGATTCTGGCCCCAAAAATGGGACCGCCCAACCGGGATTAATTAGGCTTATACAGGCATGAAACATGAGGGGGACCCATTTTTGGGGCCACATTCCGGCCCCAAAAATGGAGCCACCCAACCCAAAAAAAGAAGACAAAATGTTGTAAGTTGACTGGCCCGCACCTTGTCGCGCAGTACAGCGGGGTCTCTGCTAACAACTTGCTTCAGCACCTTCCGGCGGACGCCCCACCGAGCCCGCCAGCGCTGCACCCACTTATTGACCATGCGTTTGTTTGGCACACCCATGTCCAGCTTCTGGCCATGGAAGGCCTCCTCCCACTTCAAAAACGTGTCCATCGCAGAAGGTGCTTGACCATGATTCGTATTGCAGTCATAGACCCACTGCTCCGTGGCTGCTTCGGCCAGGAAGGCTTGCGCTTTGCGTGAAGCTGTGTCATCCAAAGCGGTCAAATCTGGCAGCGGCGTCGTCAGCAACATCTCTTGGATCAAAGCTGCCGTGGGGTATACCCATTGCTGCCATAGGATATCGTCGTTG